TGCTGTGGCCCCAATCCGTCCCTCTCCCGGCCCAAACCGTCTAGTGTGAACAGGGCCATAGAAAGGAGAAAACAATAACAACCTAACTAACTAGGGTTTCTAGTTCTCCTCCATCTTCTTTCTTCAACTTCTGATCCTAAGAACAAAGGAAAAGAAAGTTTCCTCCCAAAAATTCCACCCCTTGCAAACGTGCTGAATAGTATGTACTCTCATCAATATATTGATTAGCCAGTAGTCACTCTTAAGATTACTTCATTAGGAATAATACCTCCCCCTTACTGGCGGGAATATTCTACTCTCCACCTAATTGGTTCTATGCTAACCAACTACTATCAGTTTACAGAAACAACAGCTTAACTCTTTAATGACTGAAGGGAAGACACTTACAAATACCAACAACCCTGCGCTCCTAAGAGGCACAGTAAGATAAAAATCTAAGAGAGGAGACAGTTTCTCCCTTTTCTTACAGCGCTATTGATTTGCTGTAGGTTTGGGAACTGGGAAAAACTTTCCCCGTGCTCGATGAAATTAACTTGTGGACCTCCCTGCCACAAGATACTCCAGTGAGTGGCCCCTGGGAGCAAGCAGCTGGACCTTTACTAAACATCTCATTAGAAAGTAAAGTAATTGCTCTGGATCTAAACAGAATTGTTTCTGGCATGTAGGAGCAAGTGGGAACCTTCTGGTTTTTATTCCTGGGCCTCATTGACTGGGAGGGCCCCCAAGACAAAAGAGTGAACCACACTGTTAACTCACCCCCCTCCCACGATCACAACTTTTACAAGGTGGAGAGAGGAAACTCTTGCAGATGTTTGCTCACCCTCACTCACTGGAGATGTCTGAAGACCTGCCATTGCAGCTCCTTTCCTGTCTGACAGTCAATTAATGGGCGGTCTGGTCCCAGCTTATGCAAGTGCTTTCACAGGAACAGGCTATTGGCAGCCATCAGAAACTGATGATTCCTAGCTGGGGGGAATCAACCGGGAGTCAGCATTTGATCTCCTGTCCGGGGAATGTTGTTTAGGGAGGTGGGGGAGAATTGGGACCTGGCTGCCAGCTGATTAGATGGAAGTCAAATATGTTCGATGTCCCATCCTGGGAACTCGGGCTGGTTGCAGACCTGCTGAGATGCAAAATTCAGCTGATAGCCTGGCTGGAGGACAGGGCGAGAGAGTCATTGCCTCAGCCAATAACAGCAAGGGAAGCTGGTGAGCAATGCTCCCTCTAAGCTGTGGAGTCTTGTGAGCAAAAATTCTACTTTGTGAGCTGCTGGCATTAAAGTTGTGAGCCAGCGATTTGGCCACTGCAAAAATCAGTTTGCTCTGGAGCCAGCCTTCCTGAGCAAGGGCAAAAATGTGTGAGCCGGAGGCTAAAAACTGTGAGCTGGCTCACACTAACTCAGCTGAGAGGGAACACTGGTTGGAATGCTCCCTCTAAGCTGTGGAGTCCTGTGAGCAAAAATTCTACTTTGTGAGCTGCTGGCATTAAAGTTGTGAGCCAGCGATTTGGCTAATGCATAAATCAGTTTGCTCCGGAGCCAGCCTTCCTGAGCTAGGACGAAAATGTGTGAGCTGGAGGCTAAGAAACTATTAGCTAGCTCACACCGACTCAGCTGAGAAGGGAACACTGCTGCCGAGTCCCACTCCAGGTCCAGGTGAATGGAGCTGATGTCTTGTTCCTCAGAATATCGTTACCACTTTGGTGGTCCCAGACCCACTGAACCTTGTGCAGGAGGGCAGACTCCTCGCTGGCCTTCTCGTATGCTAATCCTGCCCTCGCCCCAGGGACCTCGGGACCTCATCTTTGGCTTTCCCTGTTAGATCCTCTGGTCTGGTAAGGCAGGAATCTATCTCAAAGTAGCAGATGGCGCTACAGCTAAACACGGCACAGGCTGTCTTTGTTCTGAGTGTGTGTGCTGTCAAAGTCACAAACTTGCACAGAGCCTCTTATCAGTTTCAAAGTCGTAAGAAGCCTTTATTCTGGAACTACATTCTAGATGGTAAAGATGAGAGGCGGATATAGGATCTGACTACTCTTAACTACCTAGGAGGGGTGAGGATGGAGAGAGCATCCTTGCAGCCGTGGAGGGAGGCCTGCTCCTTCTTTGTCTGTGTGCAGGAAGAAGAGGAGGAGGAGATTGGATTTATACCCCCCCGCCGCCCTTCACTACCCCAAGGAGTCTCAGAGCGGCTCACAACCTCCATTCCCATCCCCTCCCCACAACAGACACCCTGTGAGGTAGGTGGGGCTGAGAGAACTCTTTTAAGGACTGCCCACGAGAGAACAGCTCTGAGAGAACTAGTGACTGATCCAAGCTCACCCAGCTGGTTGCATGTGGAGGAGTGGGAAATCAAACCCGGTTCTCCCAGATTAGAGTCCGCACACTTAACCACTACACCAAACTGGCACTGAAGAAGGAGGAGGAGGAGATTGGATTTATACCCCACCCTTTACTATCCGAAGGAGTCTCAGATGAGCTTCCAACCTCCATTCCCTTCCCCTCACCACAACAGATACCATGTGAGGTAGGTGGGGCTGAGAGAGCTCTCTTGAGAACTGCCCTTGAGAGAATAGCCAGTTTGGTGTCGTGGTTAAGTGCACGGACTCTAATCTGGGAGAACCGGGTTTGATTCCCCACTCCTCCACAGAAAGCTGCTGGATGACCTTGGGCAAGCCGTAGTTCTGTCAGACCTGTTCTTGAAAAAGAGCAGTTTCTGTCAGAGCTCTGTCAGCCCCGCCTACCTCACAGGCAGTGTTCCCTCTAAGCTGAGTTAGTGTGAGCTAGCTCACAGTTTTTTTAGCCTCCGGCTCACAGATTTTTGTCTTCACTCAGGAAGGATGGGTCCAGAGCAAAGTAATTTATGCAGTAGCCAAATTGCTTGCTCACAACTTTAATGCCAGTAGCTCACAAAGTAAAATTTTTGCTCACAAGACTCCACAGCTTAGAGGGAGCATTGCTCACAGGGTGTCCGTTATGCGGAGGGGAAAGGAGTTTGTAAGCCGCTCTGAGATGCCTCTGGGTAGTGAAGGGTGGGGTATAAATCCAATCTCTTCTTCTTCTTCTTCTTCTCTGAGAGAACTTGTGACTGACCCAAGGTCACTCCAGGAGCTGCATGTGGAGGAGGAGTGGGGGAATCAAACCCAGTTCTCCCAGATTAGGGTCTGCACTCCTAACCACTACACCAAATGGAGAGAACGGAAAGAAGTGAGAAGTTGGTTTCCCTAAGAGTGATCAGTCTACACACGTCAGAGGGACAGAGGCAGAAGAGTAAACAGGAAGGGACCCACCGTGTGCCTGTCTGCCTAGCTGACTCCCTTGCAAGACCCCCCTCTCTGGAGTCTGAGGCGAAGAGGCAGCGTCAAGGCCTTCTCTTCCAACATTCCCTGCCTCTGCTTTTTGCCACCCAGGAACACTGTCAGGTAGGTTGGGCGAGTCCCGCTGGGCCTGCTATTCTTCACAGATGCAGCCGGTTGTCAAAGTGTGGCTCTGAAGATCCCCTGCTTTTGAAGGACAAAGCTGGTGCCTGTCTTCGCTGCGCACCAAAGCTCACAGTGTGTTCCAAAGCCTGTTTGTGAGTTCAGAGGCTGCAGCAAGGAAGTTGCAGCCATCACACTTCCTCTGGTGCTGCACTTTGGGGCGGGGGCGGGTGTGCCTGCAAACCACTGAGGGGCGGGTGCAGGAACCCCGCTGAGAGCCCTCCCCGCTATCACCAGCTCCTCTTCTGTCTTCTTTTCCCTCCACCGTGGAATGGGAAAAGAGTCCCACAGTCCCGGCACTTTTGCAAAGACGGCAGGTTCATTTTGCCAGACTGCAGCGACGGTGTGTTTCTGTTCCATTGAGAAGGAAGCAGCAGCGGAGATCTGAGAGGCGGGAACACAGCTGGTCGCTTCTGCCGGGGCGATTCCCATTTAGATCCCTTTGATAAGCGCCCTGCCAAGTCTATTGAAGACTTTCCCCCTTGATCGCTGCTGTTATTCAGCAGTGTTTGAGACAAGATGGCCTCTCTGCACTTCTTCTCCTCTTTGAAAACTCCCACCGAGCCAGCCTGGTAGGACCCCAAGCGGCTTCCAATCACCTTTCCTTTCCTCTCCCCACAGCAGACACCCTGTGAGGTAGGTGGGTCTGAGAGAGCTGTTTTGAGAACTGCTCTTGAGAGAACAGCTCTGAGAGAACTGTGACTGACCCAAGGCCACCCAGCCGGCTGCATGTGGAGGAGGAGTGGGGAATCAAGCCCGGCTCTCCAGATTAGAGTCCGCCGCTCTTAACCACGACACCGCGCCTTTCTCCTCAGTGGGGACCCAAAGTGGCTTACAATCCTCCTCCTTCTCTCCTCCCTTTCAGCCTCACAACAACCCTGTGAGGGAAGCCAGGCTGAAAGCATGCGACTTGCCCAAGGTCAACCAGCAAGCCTCTGTGGCGGATTTGGAATTGGGTCTCCAAGGTCCTGATCCACCACTCTGACCTCGACACAACACTGGCTCCTTGCTGGCCATGAGGAAGGCTGGTCTGTGGCAGAGACCCTGGAAGAGAGCAGGTGCCCATCAAGGGAGACAGGATTGGGCCAGAGGAGACAGCAGCTCTGTATGCCGGGGGCCGGCCTGGGGCTCAGTGGCAGAGCACTGCCTCGGAATGCCGGAGGGTTACGGTCCGGTGTTAAGGTCCGGTCCTGGGCATTTCCAACTGCAGGATCTGACGTAAGAGGTGACGGGAAAGGCCTTCTTCCGTCTGGGGTGCTGGAGAGCTGCTGCTGGTCAAAGGAGACCCTTCTGGGCTAGACGAGCCATGATTGGGTATCAGGCAGCCTCACGGATCGGTCCCAAGAGCCTCCTCGCAAACCTTCCTTGGCAACTAGAATCCCAGTTGCCAGCTAAGTAAATCACACAGCATTATTTATTCCAGCCGCAGAGCTGGGCCGCTCGTAAAAATGTAATACATATTTTTAAAGAAACGAAGAAATGCAGAACCCTGCGCTCCGGTCCTGGCTGTGAACTGCCACCAGGTTTGGAAATGCCAAGTCTGCCTCCGTGCCGGCCTAGAACTGTGCCCCGGTGGAGGAGAACTCCCTTGGGAGGGCCGCGTTTGGGGCGGGAGTGCTGGGTTCTGGACCGTGCCGCTGAATCGTGGCCGGCATCTGCTCTGCAGCTGGGAACAATCGGCTGTCCCTGCCAGGGCCTCTTGCCACCTCTGCAGGATGGGGCACTGAGATGGGAGGAAGGGGGCGCCTTCCCTTTTCCTGCCCGCCTCTGAATCCACTGCATGCCAGGGACAAGGCTGGAGGTCTGCCCAGTTTTCACCCCAGTCCTCTAAGCCTCCAAATCCCGGGGGGTGGGGGTTGTTTAATTTGACTTTCCCTTTGTGTACATAAGAACATCAGAGAAGCCAGTGTTGGATCAGGACAATGGCCCATCTAGTCCAACACTCTGTGTCCCACAGTGGCCAAAAACACCAGGTGCCCTCAGCAGTGGGGCCAGGACACTAGAAGCCCCCCCATACTGTTGCCCCCCCCCCAAGGACCAAGAAGACAGAGCGTCCCTTGCCCCAGCCTGAGAGTTCCTAACTATACCTTGTGGCTAAGAGTCACTGATGGACTTCTTCTCCATATGCTTATCTAATTTATCTAATGTAGCTGAAACCTGTGATTCTTCATTCTTCACTTTCTCACATGAATCCTTCCTGGTGGTGAGCCGTGTTGGTCTGAAGCAGTAGAACAGATTTAGAGTCCAGTCGGGCACCTTTAAGACCCACAGAGGTTTATTGAAGGTATGACCTTTTGTGTGCACGCGCCCTTCCTCAGATAGATTGAAATGGAAGCTAACCGTTTCATTGATATATATAGAGAGGGGATGAACAGTAATTACAGAGGATGCTAATTTATTGTTCACCCTCTCTCTCAACTGTTACCTTCCATTTCAATGGATCTGAGGAAGTGCACACAAAAGCTGATACCTTGAATAAACCTTTGTTGGTCTTAAAGTTACCTGACTGGACTCTAAATGAATCTTTTCCTGTAAATTTGCCAACATTATTTCTGCATTAATCGATGAGACTGTGGAGAGCTGGTGTTGGCCAGGGGAGATGAGAGAGTGTTAGACGGGCCGGTGGCAGTCTGGCAGGCGAAGACAGCTCCCAGAGTTCCCGTTTCCCCTTCCAAGCCTTCCCACTGTCCATGCCTTTCCTTTTCCCTCTCTGTTAGTACGCCAGGGCGACCAGTTTCCCTTTCCTTTTTTTGCTTGCTGAGTAACTAAGGGGGTGAACAGATGGCAGCGGCTTCATTTCAAGTGGCATAGCCAGCCAGAGAAGCTGCCTGTTGACGGTCCCCTTTAAGGTGGCTAGAAGCCTGAGTCTGTGTGCATTTGTGTAGCACCCACGACTCTCGGAGACGCCCCCTTGAGGTAGCGGCCCACCCATCCACAGCCTCGGGCAGGCTGGCAACAGAGCAGACGTTTTCGGGGAGAGGAGAGAGACTTGGCGTCCTGCGGTGCACCCCCACATTTCTCTCAGCCCTGCTGTTCTATGCCATTTATTTGCTCGATACTTTCATACTCTGGGCCCGTTTCGATCCTGCTGTTGCCAGTCCTGTTAATGTGTCAATTATACTTTATATGGGTTATTTCCCCCCCCCCCCAGGTTCGGGTGTAAGCTGACAGCTGGCCTCTTTGTAAACAATGAAAAGTGGGGAGTAAGACATTTCTTAAACAAAAACGCCCCCTTCTCGGTTGGGCCACCTGCATTGTGTCGATCGCAACCTGCAGCGGGAAGAGAAGCGTTATTTCCCCAAGCCCCTCTTTGGACATGTTGGGGATTGAACCAGGGACTGTCTCCATTGCAAGCCTCCCCTGTCCCTCTGCATCGCGGCAGCTGGCCTCGGGTGGCCAGCTATGGACGGGGAGATTCCTGGAGATTTGGGGGTAAAGCCCAGGGGGGGTGGAATTTGAGGCGGGGAGGGACCCCAACAGAATATCATGCGATACAGTCCAATCTCCAAAGCAGCCGTTTGCTCCAAGGGAATTCACCTCTGTAGTCTGAGGATCAGCTTTAATGCTGGAGGGGGTGTCGTCTCCTGCCTCCACCTGGAGGCTGGCAACCCTTTGACCCATCTAGCTGCCCGTTTGGTGTAGTGGTTAAGTGCGTAGACTCTAATCTGGGAGAACCGGGGTTGGTTTCCCACTCCTCCACTTGCAGCTGCATAGTCTGGGTCCATTTGAGTTTGGCAGCAGCAGCAGCACCCTGCTTGAAAATAAGCGAGGAGACCTTGCCCAAGTAGATGAACAGAAAAGTAAATCCATGAAAGTGTCGACTTGAAGGTAACATTGAGTGTGAGATTCCTATATAGGATTTGTTCCTGAGGAAAGACCAGAGGTCTGGGATATCCGGAATAAGTGTTGAAAGAGCGATTGAATTTGGAGCAGACTGCTTTTGAGAATACAAGACTGTTAGAAGGATGTTGACTGAGAGAGTCTGGAGCAGACTGCCATGAGTAATTTTATTGACCTTTGTATTTTTTTCTATGGAGGAATAAGTGGTTGTTTTTCATTACCAGACACTCAAGGCTATTTTTGGGCAGGGACGCACAGGAACGGAGTTCCGGCTGGCTCCCAAGTTGGCCACGCCCAGCAGGAACTCATTAGCATAATAGGCCACACCCAACAGCAGAAACTCATTAGGATTGGCTACATTAGGGGTGTGTGGCCTAACATGCAAAGGAGTTCCTGCTACAAAAAAAGGCCCTGGGTTTTGACAACAAACAAGGTAAACAGAATAAGAAGCAAAAGGTGGGTGTGGCTGGATGACCACAGTTCTGGTAACATGGGGGTGTGGCCTAATGTGCTAATGAGCTGTGCTGTCAGGGGTGTGGCCCAATATGCTAATGAGTTCCTGCTATTGGGTGTGGCCTATTATGCTAATGAGTTCCTGCTGGGCTTTTTCTACAAAAAGAGCCCTGCCCGACACTAAATGATGTTATGGCTTTAATCTACTCTCTTTTGTTATTGTATTGTTCTGTGGGCATCTAGCACACATCTGTATATATTTTTTCATACCAGACAAGCCATAGTTCTCTCAGCACTGTTCTCTCACGGGCAGTCCTCGAAAGAGCTCTCTCAGCCCCACCGACCTCACAGGGTGTCTGTTGTGGGGAGGGAAAGGGAAAGGAGTTTGTGAGCCGCTCTGAGACTCCTTCGGGTAGTGAAGGGCCATGGGGTATAAATCCAATCTCTTCTTCTCTTCTAAGTGTGCGGACTCTAATCTGGGAGAGCCAGGTTTGATTCCCCACTCCTCCACTTGCACCTGGCTGGATGACCTTGGGCAAGCCATAGTTCTGATAAGAGCTGTTCTTGAAAAAGAGCAGTTCCTGCCAGAGCTCTCTCAGCCCCACCTGCCTCACAGGGGGTGTCTGTTGTGGGGAGGGGGAGGGAAAGGAGTTTGTAAGCCGCTCTGAGGTTCCCTTGGGTAGTGAAGGGTGGGGTATACATCCAATCTCCTCCTCCTCCTCCTCCTCCTTTTTGTCTGCTCTGATTGGTAGGGTCTCTTGCAGAGAAGGGCCTTCCCCAGCAGTTACTATCTGTTCAGTTGGAGATGTGAGGACCAATGCTCCCTCTAAGCCGTGGAGTCCTGTGAGAAAAAATTCTACTTTGTGAGCTCCTGGCCTTAAAGTTGTGAGCGAGCGATTTGGCTGCTGCATAAATTGGTTTGCTCTGGAGCCCTCCTTCCTGAGCTAAGGCAAAAATGTGTGAGCCGGAGGCTAAAAAACTGTGAGCTAGCTCACACTCACTCAGCTGAGAGGGAACACTGGTGAGGCCTGAACCCCGCGGGGCCTTCTGTATGTGCGGCAGGTGCTCTACCCCTGATCCATGGCCCTGTCCAATGAGGCTGCCTTAGCTGGAATCAGACCTGCTGGCTGACTCCTCTCTCCTCTGATTGGCAGTGGTCCTTCCAGAATACCGTTCAGGTTCTCTCTGCGTATGGCAGGTTGCTCACTGCACCAGCTGCCTGGGAACCTGAGTGAGCGAGAAATGCCAGGGAGAGACCCGGGGACTTTCTGCATGCCAAGCAGGTGCCCCGGGCTCTCCCCAACAAAGTCTGAGCTGCTTGTGTGTGTATCACCAGCGGCAGGACCTCCTTCAAGCCACCTTGAGGCCTAAAAAAAAACAATAATGGCCCACTTATCAGCTGTCTCCGACCTTCGTCAATGAGAAGCGGTCCTGGCACACTCTGAGAACAGACGCATTCATCGCCGTCCCTGCTTTCCTTGGCACCGGGCAGGTGGCCTCCGCGTTGACCTCTAACTACCATCCCTGTACGAGCTGTTCAGCCCATTGTGCTTTTCGATGTCCCTGGCCTACTTCTGGGACGGGAGACCTTGCTGGGGATGGTGTGCGAGAGACTTATTGGGGATCGCTGAATGAGACAGCCTGTCCTTTGGAGGACTGCCGGGGCCTCTCAGGTGGCACGAGCGTGGGGTTTTTGGACTGACGAATGTAAGGGTGGCACAAGTCTTGTCCCATGTTAGAGCTCGTTGCATGGTTCTCTGCATTTTGCTTTATGTTCTCCTGCATTTTGCTTCCTGGAGGGCCTGTCTTTGTGTCTCCTTTCCCCCTGTTGCAAGGACCTCTTCCTTCCTTCCTTCCTTCCTTCCTTCCTTCCTTCCTTCCTTCCTTCCTTCCACGGACTCTAATCTGGGAGAACCGGGTTTGATTCCCCACTCCTCCACTTGCACCTGGCTGGATGACCTTGGGCAAGCCACAGTTCTCTCAGAGCTGTTCTCTAAAGACCAGTTTCTGTCAGAGCTCTCTCAGCCCCACCTATCTCTCAGGGTGTCTGTTGTGGGGAGGGGAAGGGAAAGGCGATTGTAAGCCGCTCTGAGACACCTTTGGGTAGTGAAGGGTGGGGTATAGATCCAATCTCTTCTTCTTCTCTTCCTTCCTTCTTTCCCTCCCACAGTGGGAGTGCCTGCCTGCCATATGTGGTCTTTACCAGTGTTCCCTCTAAGCTGAGTGAGTGTGAGCTAGCCTCTGGCTCACATATTTTCATCTTAGCTCAGGAAGGATGGCTCCAGAGCAAACCAGTTTATGCAGTAGCCAAATCACTCACTCATAACTTTAATGCCAGTAGCTCACAAAGTTGAACTGTTACTCCACAGGCTTAGAGGGAGCCTTGGTCCTTACAGCTCCCTTACAGCTCCCGTGTAGAACAGGGTTAATAGCCACTCTCCCGCTGGGCAGAGAAGAAATCGAAATGGGAGCAGGAGGCCTTTGTGAGACAGACGTGGTTTGTTCTGGACTCCGGTGTCCCCGGAAAGGATGCTGAAGCCCGACCAGCTGCCTCTTGGAGAGCCTGCCACTCGCTGGGCCGCCGTGATCTCGTACAAATAAACGGCGATGCTGCCAGAGACTTGGGAGAGCTGCTGCCAGTGGGAGCAGATGGTTCCTGGGCGAGAGAGACCAGCGGAAGGCAGCCCTTCTGTCTGAGGCTGTGTGTGAACCACGATTCTGCACAGAGCGTGGTGGTGCATGGAGAACTCGGTCCCCAGAGAATCACGGTTTGCTTTAAAAAAAAGAAGAAGACCAAGTTTCTAGTCCTCGTTGCTGTAATAAAAGGCTTGAGGCTGTGCTGGCATCCCAGGAGGCAGACAAAATATGATTTCCAGTTGCTGGTGAGTTGGGCTGCAGCGACCTGTGACCACATAACTAGAATAAATCATGCCCAACAGCCAGAATTGTAGAGGTACTTCTCCCCCCAAAGAGGACGGCTGTGCTGATGGCTCTGTTTGTACCAAAAGTGCAGGTTCAGAATTTCACATACGCGGGCACAAGGCAAAGTTGGCCCTGCTGTGGATACCTTAATAACTGTAGTGTGTGTGTGTGTGTGTGTGTGTGTGTGTGTGAGAGAGAGAGAGAGAGAGAGAGAGAGAGAGAGAGAGAGAGAGAGAGAGAGAGCGAGCGCGCGAGAGAGAGGAGAATGTCAGAATTCCGATTCAGATTTTGGAGTCCCAAGCAAGCTGGGCTTGGTTCTGAAATAGAACTGATGTACTTGACAGCTTCCATGCGCATCCACACCTTTCTCCCTGTGGGAACACAAGGCCATTTATCCATTGGTCTGGGGTTTTTTACTTCTGCATTTTTACAGAGTTTGATGCATGTACTTTCTCCTGCAGTTCATGCATCCTCTCCCTCCTCCTCCAGCCCATGACAGAACATTCTATTAATGCGCATTGATAATGTAGAGAGCAGAAGATGCAAGGAATGCAGAACGGCAGATGTATGTTGGATAGTTAAACACCCCTCGTTCAGTGATGGGGGAGGGCCCTTGGCTCAGGGGCAGAGCCTCTGCTTGGCATGCAGAAGGTCCCAGGGTCGGTCCCCTGCAGCATCTCCAGTTAAAAGGACCGGGCAGGAGGTGATGTGAAAGACCTCTGCCAGTCTGAGTAGACATTACTGACACTGATGGACCCAAGGTCTGATTCGGTATTAGGCAGCTTCATGTGTGTTTGGGGAGGGGCCGTAGCTCGATGGTGGAGCGTCTGCTTGGCATGCAGGAGGTCCCAGGTTCGGTCCCCAGCATCTCCAGTTAAAAGGACCTTGCAGGAGGTGATGGGAAAGACCTCAGCCTGAGACCCTGGAGAGCTGTAAAGAGGGGCTGTGGCTCAGTGGCAGAACATCTGTTTTGCATGCAGAAGGTCCCAGGTTCAATTCCCCGGCATCTCCAGTTGAAAGGACCAGGCAGGAGGGGAAGAGAAAGTCCTCTTCAGCCTGAGACCCTGGAGAGACGCTGCCAGTTTGAGTAGACAAGGCGGACCTTGGTGGAATAAAGGTCTGATTCAGTAGAAGGCAGCTTCATATGAGCATGCGTAACCGCAGCCACCTGTGAGCTGAATGGCCGGACTGTTCACCTGTCCATTGACCACCTCAAATGGCTCTTGAACAGGTGTGCGACTGTGTGGCGCTTAGACTGGTCAAGTTTGGTTTCCTTGCAGTGGTGATGTTTCACTTCTTTCCCTCGATCTCACAGAATCATAGAATCACAGAGCTGGGAGGGGCCATACAGGCCATCTAGTCTGACCCCCTGCTCAATGCAGGACCAGCCGAGAGCATCCCTGACAAGTGTTTGTCCAGCCGCTGCTCAAAGACTGCCAGGGAGGGGGAGCTCACCACCTCCCCGGGCACCTGGTTCCACTACGGCACAACTCTGTCACAAAGTTCTCCCTGAGATCCAGCCAATACCTTCCCACCCTTCATTTCAACCCATGGTTGTGTGTCCTCTCCTCGGCTGCCAACAGGAACAGCTCCCTGCCCTCCTCTAAGGGACGCAGCCCTTCAGATACTTCAAGAGAGCCATCCTGTCGCCCCTTCAGCCTCTTCTTCTCCAGACTGATCCTTCCCAAGTCCTCCCTCAGCCTTTCCTCGTGGGGCTTCTCGGTCTCCAGGCCCCCCAGTCATCCTCCTCACTCTTACAGGGGCTTTTGTCTCTGCACAGGAGGAGGAGGAGTTTGGATTTATCCCCCGCCGTTCACTACCCGAGGGTGTCTCAGAGCGGCTTACAAACTCCTTTCCCTTCCCCTCCCCACCACAGACACCCTGAGAAAACTCTGACAGAAACGGCTCTTTTTTCAAGGACAGCTCTTATCAGAACTACGGCTTGCCCAAGGTCATCCAGCCAGGTGCGAGTGGAGGAGTGGGGAATCAAACCCGGCGCTCCCAGATTACAGTCCGCGCACTTGACCACTACACCAAACTAGGTGTCATTTGTCTTTACCAGGGTCATGGATGGTTGGTCAGGTCATTCAATGGTGTGAGGGAGGGAACCACACTTCCCATAATTCTGTGCAAAAATGGTGGAAAGTACCCTCCTGTGGTCGCTGACCCCAGAGGGTCTTTAACAATGTTCCCTCTAAGCTGTGGAGTCCTGTGAGCAAAAGTTCTACTTTGTGAGCTACTGGGCATTAAAGTCATGAGCGAGTGATTGGGCTACTGCATCAATTAGTTTGCTCTGGAGCCATCCTCCCTGAGCGGAGACAAAAATGTGTGAGCTGGATGCTAAAAAACTGTGAGCTAGCTCACACTAACTCAGCTCGGAGGGAACACTGGTCTTCAAGGCAAGTGATGTCCAGAGGTGGTTGGCCATTGCCTGCCTCTGGGCAGTAATCCTGGACTTCCTGGGTGGTCTCCCATCCAAACTGTGACCAGGACTGGCCCTGCTTAGCTTCACGAGATCTGTCAAGACCAGGTTAGCCTGGGACATCCAAGCCAGGGCAGAAAATATGCAGGTGCAAATAACGTTGATGCAATGTGGATTGTAAAAAAGCACTGGACAGTAAGACTTAAAAAAAAAAAAAACCACCTTGAGCACTTATAGTAACTGTCTGACTCACAGGCTCGCCATCTGTGCCCCTGGGTCTCTAGCAGCGATAGCAGGTCTGTAGCGGAGGAGGGGAGGTCCAAAGGCACAGGCGTGAGACACCCTCAAAGGCATTGTGCTGATGAACAGGGTCAAGCTGTTCACGAACGGCAAACTGATCGACTGGCGAACAGCTGGTGAGACAAACCGGCGGGTTTTTAAGTGTCCCTCGTGCCTGCTCCTCCCGGAATTAATCTGAGACATTATCCTGGTTAAAGTGGAATTAAGAACAGCAGAATGCAGCACAGGCAGGAATTCGGGGATGCTGGTGGAGCCGGGGAAATCCCTCATCTCGTGTTCCGCCAGGAAGCCCCACCTCCCCTGAGCTGGCTGGCCAGGATGGCTCCTGAGCCTGGTTTGAGTCACACATGGAATCATGAAGCTGCCGTCTATTGACTCAGAGCCCTGGGCCCTCACAACCAGTATTGTCTGCTCAGAAAGGCAGCCGCTCTCCAGGGGCTGCTCAGGGAGAGGTCTTTCGCATCATCCACTGCCTGGTCCTTTTAACTGGAGATGCCGCAGGGGATTGAACCTGGTACCTTCTGCATGCCAAGCAGATGCTCTGAGCCATGGCCCCTCCCCAAGTCTGTCGCCTTACATTGTGCATGTGGCTGGACTCACTCTCTAGAGCTGCCTCTTTCCCCTGTATGCACTTTTCTACCAAATGCATGTAGTGTGCTGTGGTCTGGAGTTACGTGGGCCCATATGTGAGACTCCAGTGGCACAGTTGCCTTTGCTTCCA